TTTATAGTTAATTCACTTGAGTGTTTAGGGGTAAGGCAGGATAATGGGAGCATTTTCCTTCTTCAGAGCACTCTCATTGATTGGAATTGAGGGATTCTCTTTGTCTTGGTTTACTTTTATAAGATGGGACATTCTTTTTTTTCCAGTTTACAATATCTACAAGTGTCCTTGTCAACATGGTTGGTGGGGAAGTGGGCCATCTAGCTGTCTGATCTGCAAGACCATAGTTTATTTTGGGTCCTGTCTCATTTTTATTCTAAGGCCTTTCAAAATGTTCTGGCAGGTGTTTTAGTTCAGACAAAGAGCTATTTCCCATTCTAATTTCTACTTTTGAATTAGGCTTCCAGTTTTAGGTTCAAATCCATTGACAAAACAAGATGAAAGGGCTGCTGTTACACTGGCACCTTTGTTAACTCCCAAATGTTGTCACAAGGTATTTTGTATTCTATCCTGAAAATCCTATCATCTCATCTTGTCTCTGTATGATTGAATTATGGTACAATCGATTTTTATAGAAAATGTTTGTGATATTGTTTTTAGGAGACTTTGCCCTACTTTTCGTGCCATTTTTTTTCTTTCTGATCCTAGGTTTATTATGGTAAGAGGGATCCTTGTGGATCCTTTTCCAGGTCTAAGATTTAACACTTGAGGCCAGGCGTGGTGGCTCACGCCTGTAATTCCTAGCACTCTGGGAGGCTGAGATGGGAAGATCGTTTGAGCTCAAGAGTTCGAGACCAGCCTGAGCAAGAGCAAGATCCCATCTCTACTAAAAATAGAAAGAAATTAGCCAGACAACTAAAAATATATAGCAAAAAAATTAGCCGGACATGGTGGCATATGCCTGTAGTCCCAGCTACTTGCGAGGCTGAGGCAGGAGGATCGCTTGAGCCCAGGAGTTTGAGGTTGCTGTGAGCTAGGCTGACACCACGGCACTCTAGCCCGGGCAACAGAGTGAGACTCTGTCTCAAAAAAAAAAAAAAAAAACACCTGAGACTCTGACCAACATTTGTACAAGTTGATATAGGTTAGCTAATTCTGAATCATATGCATCTAAAAGAATTCTAAAGTCTTCTATGAATAGTTGCTGGTATTGTTTAGAAGGAGGGAAACCCTTCATTATAGGTCTAAATTCATCTTGGGTGCAAAGTTTAAATTCTGCAGTTGCCTGAATACCTGGCTCCTACAGGAGATGGATCTCAGAGGCAACTGATATTTTATTGTTTTAGTAGAGTCATTGAAAAAGGTAGGGGCCTGGGCAAGAGGAAGAGAAGGGAGGAGTTGATGGAAGTGAGGAGAGAGAGATGAGAAGCACATGGGGAAGTGGGGACATCTGCCTACAGGAAGGCAACTCAGAGAGGAAGGATTTATGAGGAAACGAGCCTAGTTTATTGTTGCTTAAGTTTGCCAAATTGCTCATTAGCTTTGGCTAAAGAATCACTTAGTGGAATAATTTTTGAATCAGAATTTTCTTTGAAGGCCTCTGTACACCAATCTAAAACTACTGCCCATCACACCTGAGAATTCTTAATTCCATTTTTTTTCTAAGGTGATCATCGAATGAAAATTTTTGTTCAAGTCAAATGTTCCCTGGAGTGGCCACTGAAGGCCCAACTGCTCATTGCTGACTTTGTGCTGTTTAGAGAGATCGGCACAAGAATTAGGATTGTAATGAGAATACGTATGAGAAGCAGCCATTTTTCCTGGTGGAGGAGAGGAGTTAGACAAGTTTTTGTAAGCGCACCCCCGAGAACTGGCAAAGTGGTTGACAGTGATGCTTGTGCTCTTTGTGTCTCAGCCCCTAACCTCATAGTCACCCCCTCCAAACATAGACCTGACAATCCGTGCTCCCTGGCAGGCGGAATAGCAAGGTGAACTCTGGATCAAAAGCAAGCTCTCAGAATCAAGTGGAAAGAGAACTTCATCTAGTTTTATTGATGACCCAGAACAAAGTTTGTCCAAAGGGATGTGGTCTGGTGAGAACAGGAAACTCATCAGTCCATGAGGCTGGCTCAACAGGGTTATAAGGCCTGTGATTCTCCTTCTTATGAAAAACAATTCTTTTAGACAGCACAGTACAAAATAGAAGTATAAAGGAGAACAAAAAAGAATGAAAAGGAATGGCCTGATTCCACTAAGAATGCTAAACAATGGGAATCAATAACAAAACCTGAGTACCAAACTTAGAATGAATGACTGAAGAACTCAATGCAAAGATAAGCTCAGAGCTGGCACTGACTTACCATGTTGGCACAGACTTGACAAGCCACAAGCAGTAAGGCACAAGTGGCCTCTGTGGGCACCACAGGTGATGGCAGGCTGGGGTCCATGGCAATGGACAGCACAGACTATGCTTCAGTGGAGTCGCCAGGAACACCGTGGAAATAAATGAAGACTATTGTGGAAATAAATGAAGAACAACAAATAGAGATCATTTATTCAGTGCTTGCTAGAGCAAGGAAGTCCGTCATCATCACTTACATTTGTCAAAGACTCAAAGGCAGGCCGGGGAGTGGGAAAGCTTTATAGTGAAAGATTCAGGTACAGGGAAAGGTTCAGGTGTGCTGTGATTGGAGGTGTTGGCAAGGGGAAACTGGAGTGGGCTAACTAGAAGTAGGGCATCTTACTGTGATTCATTTAAGGAGCATATTTGGCATTCTCTGGTTGGTCTTGAGTTGGAAGCGAGTAAAATATTGGGGAGCTGGCTATTCTTGGTCGACTGCTGCAGAGGTGGTGGTTTGGAGGCCTAGTTGCTGCAGAGGTTGTGGGTCAGAACTCAGTTATTGTATACGACCTGGCCATTGTCCATTTGTGTAGTCAGTCTATCAAGAGGAAGATGTCATTTAGCAATTATCTGTCATTTAATCATCATAACTGTCTCTTTCACATGCTTATTTTACAGATGAGGAAAGCAAAGCTCAGGAAATTTGAGTAATGTATTTATGGTCATACAACTAGTGACATGAACAGAATTCAAATCTACACAGGCTAGACCTATTTTAAACTATATTTCTTTCCTCTTATAAAGATCATGAAATTATTCTAATGTTTCCCTACCTATTACAAATATTAGGTGCTTAATAAATACTTGTTGGATGAGTGAATGGATGAAAATAATTTTGGAACACTTCTTGAAATTGCCTCTAGAGCCTGCATTTTAAAAATACCATCAACGAGAGCATATCTTGATTTCGTTTTTGGACACACACAAACATTTTTCTGAATTAAGATGGGTGAATAAGGTGAGAGAACCAGATGGTTCAAAAACCTAGTATTCATTCAGTAATTGGGATTTTTGCACATTTTGCATGTGATTGTCAAAGCAGCTTTGAAGGCTATTTCAAAGGAGAAGTTGCAAATATAGTTGCATTTTGGGAATAAGAACCCAGCTTTCCACAAGTTTGAAGGATAATATTCATTTTAAAAAGTAAGCTAATTCTCATTATTTTTGTGGTTTACCTTTCTGTGTAGTTTTATGTAGTAAAATGGGCTACATCATCCCATAAGTATTTATCAAACACTATTATGTATTCAGTGGTGTGCTTTGAATGTAGATATCAAATATAGCCCTTGCCAACTGGGAACTCACAGTCTAGTTTAGACAGAAAATTAACAATTAAAATGCAATACAAGTACCATAAATAGGCTGATAAATAGCAGGATGCCCTGGGAACATGCAGTAGGAACAGTGGTGAGTTGGTACAAGTTGAATAACTGATTCTTAGATGAGTAGGGTGGAGGCTAAGGGCTTGATTTGTAGTGTTTGCTGATTTCTGCGGTGGAAATTCCCCAATTATGGCTAAGATGATGTCATTAAAAGGGGAGTTGGAAAGAGATGTGCAATAGTATATTGTATTTCCACCATACCAATACAATGCATGTAAATAACCTCAAGAGCATAAATAATAGTAAAATGTAGTAAAATAATTAAGAAGTGATGAAATTTGAGCATTTATTACTTTTGTTTTTAATATAATTTATTTATTTATATTTTTTAGAGACAGAGTGTGCTCTGTTGCCCAGACTGGAGTGCAGGTGCCAGATCATGGCTCACTGTAACCTTGAATTCCTGGGCTCAATTGATCCTCCTGTCTCAGCGTCTGGAGTAGCTGGGACTACAGGCGTATGCCACCACACCCAGCTAATTAAAAAAAATTTTTTTTTGGTAGATATTTGGTCTTTCTATGTTGCCCAGGCTGGGCTTGAAACTCTTGGTCTCAAGAGATCCTCACACCTCTGACTCCCAAAATGCACAGATTACAGGCGTCATAATAGAATTTTTGAGTGGCTGTATTTAAAAACTAGCTCACAAGATTACTGAACATTTAACAATCATATCTATATTCTGGGCACTGTTTTAGGTGCCTGGGAGGAGGTACTGCAGCACAATCCAAGGCCCTGCCTTTAAAGAGTTGACATTCACGGTTTTGCGTGTGTGTGTGTGTGTGTGTGTGTGTGTGTGTGTGTGTGTGTGTGTGAATCTATAAATGAATGTCTCTCTTATCAGGTGGTGGGTGACGGCGTTATAGCTAAAAATTCTGTAGTGCAAAGGAGAAAAGGAGTAGGGTACTGCTATTTGGTATGGGATTGCCAGGCAGTACTAAATGTTGAAATGAGTGAAGGTAAGGATTGAAGGTTCTGAAATCTGACACAGTCTTGAGTAAGGCTGAAGCAGACTGCAGATCTCAACTCTCCAACCGGATTGGAACACAGAGCAATTTAAGAAATTTTTTTTCTTCAGAGAAGTCCATGTATTTGCACTTTACTTTCCTATTCCCGTCTGTACAAGTGCACAGTCCTTCCTCAAGTTGGTCTCGGCAACACTTAGGTTAAACTAAACCAAGGAGCTGCAGGTAGGCCAGCGAGGCCAGGCGGAATTTCGGTTCCGCCTTCTGCTCACGCCCGAAGCCGCTATAAGCGCTGACTCTCTCGCGCATGCTCAAATACTCTAACCAGCTAGGACCGTTTGCGCATGTGCAAGAGCGAGACGCGGTTGGTGTTTTTTTGTCCCAATGCTGTGCCGTACCGTCCAGGCGGCGAGTTGCATTGTGGTTCCGTGGTGTGTCCAGCGTGTGGAGATTTTTCTCCCGCGTATTACCACAGTGTCCGCTGCCATGAACCGCGAGAGCTTCGCGGCGGGCGAGCGGCTGGTGTCGCCGGCTTATGTGCGGCAGGGCTGTGAGGCCCGCCGCTCGCACGAGCACCTCATACGGCTGCTTCTGGAGAAGGTACCGAGGTGTCGGTCCCCTCCCCAGCTGCCGCGACCCCGAGGCTCCGGCTCCGCCTAGCGCCCTAGTTGGTGGTGGGTCCTGCCTCACTGGCTGCTATTTCCTGCTTGAGACTCGTCCCGGAGTCGCATCGTGGCTCGCACTAGCTGACTGCGCTCTGTTCCTTCTCACCCTCGCCAAAGCCAGTGAAACTCAAGGGGTGTTCTTAGAGGGTGTGTGGGGTCGGGATTTTGAGTCCAGCGTTTTCTAACTTCGGGATGCGGAAGTGAGGGAAAGTGCCAGTTTACTTTTTTGTTTGCGGAAAGGGCAAAGTTCGCACCTTTCATCTTTCACCACTCCCAAGGACTAAGGGAACGTTTGCTGTTTATAAACTACAATATACTAACTCGAACCAGGATGCTTCCATGGAACTTCTTAGGCTTTGCTCCTGCCAGCATTCCTGAATTGTAATTTCACTGAAGTTTGACAACCCCCAGGCATAACACCCTGTTTTGAAGAATCTTCTTTGAGGATATGGTGTATTGGTTTTCAGTTACTTTAACTCGCCGAAGTTTAAATGTCTGAGTAAAGTCATCGCATGCATTTATCATGACTTGCAATCTGTAGATAATTGTAATCAAATGAAACACAAACGTTTTGCCTATTTGAGGCTTCTTCTTAGTGCTGAATTTTAGAAAGCAAGGAACATGGCAGAATACACATTAAACAGTTTTAAAATCCATTAATGTAGGGTTCTGGGGAACGATGGTTTCCTTAAATACAAATGTAAGCTTTTTTTTTTTCCCCCCCTAAAGGGCAAGTGTCCAGAGGATGGTTGGGATGAAAGTACACTTGAACTCTTTTTACATGAACTTGCAATCATGGATAGCAACAATTTCTTGGGCAATTGTGGTGTGGGAGAAAGGGAAGGGAGAGTGGCGTCTTCATTAGTTGCTCGTCGTCATTACAGGTATTTTTTATTTTAAGTAGCATGTGAAAGCATATCTCCCCCTCCCTTTTTTGGTTAAGAATAATGGCATTGGTGTTCATCTTATGAAATCATAAAGCGTCTGTAAATCGCTTCTTCCCTACTCAAATGGTATGTAAAGCAAATGTAACATGGAGATGGAAACAATTTATCTGAGCAGGTGCTTTCCAAATACAATGGTGTGAAAGTTCTGGTATGTGGTGGTTACCCTGCTACGTTCTGGGTGGTTAATAACACAGGCTATACATTCTGTTAAGAATGTTTAATCTGATAGACCTATCTGGTTGTAACAGTTTAAAATATGTTAAGGTCTTTTATAGTTTTCCATAGGTCTCTTCTAACTTTGCAGGCTTGTTTTGAGAAAGATTCATAGTTAGAACTTTAAAACACTGTTATCTATGTCTAAACTGAATCTCATAACTACCTCTCTGTAGCAGAAGATGTAGGAAAAAGCATTAGATTATTGAGTTATCTTTTTCTTTTGCATTGTTTCAGAAAGCTTTTCATCAATGCTAATAACCATTCAATTGGTAGTTGTTCCAAATACGATCATTTATTTCTCTGTCCCCCAAACTTTCTGTGAAATACACATAATCTCTTTTAAAAAACTTCTATCTTCTGTGATTTTAAATGATGATGAAATTTTCCTAGACATAGTGGAATTTTATTTCAGTCAAAACCATTGCAGTCAAAACTAATGATAATGTATTACTTGAATGAAAATTTCATGGTTAACAATGGTCTGATAACATGGTTGATTATGTATGTAAAGAATGCTTTCTACATGAGATTTCAGTGATAAGAAAGTACAACACTAGTGTTCTATGATAATCCCATTGTACAGAATTTCTAATCTATTTGACTATAAATTACAAATTATTCAAATTACAAAAGTATTTTTTATTTTAAAGACTATTCAGAGGTATCTTTACAAACTATAGAAATGATCCCTGAAAGTATAGTCTTCAGAGGTATCTTTAAATAATATATAGTGTCATCTAATTTAAAGTGAGTAGATTGGCACACTAATTTTCAAGGAGCATATAGTTCTTTTAAAATTAAGGAAATATTTGAAATATTAGCTTATTCCCATTGGAATTTAACCCACTACTGTGATTAGGGGAAAAGCAAAGAAAAAAGAGAATTTAATGTTTCATATATTTCAGTTTTCTATTGCAAAATAAACTGCCCCAAAACTTAGTGGCTCAAAACAATCATTTATTATTAGTATTAGTATTAGTATTAGTATTATTTTGAGACAGAATCTCACTCTGTCACTTGGGCTAGAATGTCACGGCATTAGCCTAGCTCACAGCAACCTCAAACTTTTGGACTCAAGCAATCCTTCTGCCTTAGCCTCCTGAGTAGGTGAGACTACAGGCAAGTACCACCACACCCAGCTAATTTTTTCTGTTTTCATAGAGATGGGGTCTTGCTCTTGCTCAGGCTGGTCTTGAACTCCTGAGCTCAAGTGAGTCTCCTGCCTTGGCCTCCCAGAGTGCTAGGATTACAGGCATGAGCCACTGTGCTGGTCCACAATCATTTATTATTATCTTTGATAGTTCTGTGAGTTAAGTGGCCTTAGCAGGTTGAATATTGCTTTGGATTCTCATGCAGTTGCAGTAAGAAGCTGGCAGAGAATTTAGTCATCTGAAGGTTCAAGTGGGGAAGGTATCCAGGAACTCACATGGCTGGAAGTTCAGATGGCCTCTTGCTATGGCTTTGGCTCCTCCCAGTATGACAGCTTGATTATAAGAGGGAGCACCCCAACAGCAAGCCCTTGGAGATGGCTGGTGGAAACTAAGGCTTCTTTTGACCTCATATGAAAGTTTCAGATAATCACTTCTAGATTCTTTCTGGCCAAGTAGGTCACTAAGGCCATCTCAGATTCAAGTGGAGAGGAATTAAACTTAATCTCTTGGTGTAGTAGTAGCATGTGGGCATAGGGAGAAAAGGAATTGATGATGGCCTTCTCTGAAGACTAGCTATAGCATACTGGATGAAATTGTTTCAATTTAAATAGGATATTTTCACATTATTAATAGTTTATGAAATATAACTACAATAGACAAATATTGCTTCTGGTGTTTTGGTTATTTGTGTACTTGTATATTGGATTACTTAGAACACTGAATGAATTAGTCTAGTTTTTGTCCCATTTTTTGCTTAGGTTCATTCATGGGATTGGACGATCAGGTGATATTGCTGCTGTGCAACCAAAAGCTGCAGGCTCTAGCCTTTTGAACAAAATTACCAATTCTTTGGTCCTGGACATCATAAAGTTGGCTGGTATGTAACATATTAATCATAATACTTTTGGCCAGACACATATACCTTTGCCTAATTTCTTTTATTACTGCCTTTTTCAAAAAGGATATGAGTGGCTTTTGAAAAGACACACATAAAAGTCTTGTAGGATAAGATAGAAAATCAGAGCCGTAAGCCAGAGCTTGAATTTGGCAGTGAGCTTCCTGAGACTGAGTACAGAAAAAGCAGCACTAGGGCTAGAACTCTTATTATATGATAGAAGAAATGCATCATTTCTTCAAGAAGGATCCTGGTTTTTCAGTGGGATACGTAACTTCTGTTTTACTTCTTGTTTGTAGGTGTCCATACAGTGGCCAACTGCTTTGTAGTTCCTATGGCGACTGGTATGAGTCTAACGCTGTGTTTCTTAACATTACGACACAAAAGACCAAAGGCAAAATATATTATATGGCCACGAATAGACCAGAAGTCCTGCTTTAAATCCATGATCACTGCAGGTAAAAGAAGAGAAGTGTCATTATATATATATAATGCTTTAACCATCACAATTAGAAAATTGAAACTTTTTATGTAGAGTTAGATCAATGAAAAAATGAAATCCCTATTCCTTTTTTTAAAAAAATTATTAAATATACATAACAAAATTTAGTTGTATGTATTGCTTTTAAGTTCATGGATACCTAAACATTTACCATAAAAGGTTATATAATTATGATTTGGGGGGACATTGATTATATGCTAGTTAAATATACTATTTCAATTGAAAATTTGAAAACAGTTTTTATACTTAAATTATAGAAGGCTTTTGTAAGCTATGAGATGGGTCAGTAATTTTCAGGCTACTGAAATTCATTGTGTTTTTCTTTAAAGGAAAAAACATTAAGTTGATTGTCATTTGTTTCAATATTTGAGTTATAGTATTATTTATGTCCATCTCTGAAATAAAGTGAACTTTAAAATAAAACAAATATTACCAGAGCATGAGCAGACTGACTTTTCTGTGGACTGAAATTGAACTGGACTAAGTGATCCTTTTTGTCATCAACATCTGTGTTACTACTTTTATAGATATCTAACATTTGTTTTCTTTACTTTCCAGAATTCTTTTTTTCTTGTCATATCAAATTGCTAAATAGATTTGTGGTGTTAATTGTCTAGCAGGTCATTATTTTGACTTGCTTTTAACTAATGCCGGTATTGAGCCAGATCTTTATTACCAGAGGAGGGTTCATCGACCAAAATGACTACTTAGAGTTCTTGTGTACAATAGGACGGCCTCCTAGTGTTACAGGATTTTCCCTTATTTTAGTTAACACTGACATTTGATTTCTGGTTGACTTGGTTAGGTTTTGAGCCTGTGGTGATAGAGAATGTTTTAGAAGGTGACGAGCTGCGCACAGACCTGAAAGCAGTGGAGACTAAAGTCCAGGAACTTGGGCCTGATAATGTTCTGTGTATTCATTCTACTACATCCTGTTTTGCTCCAAGGGTACCTGATAGGTAAATGATTTGTGAATATTGTCCTTTAGCTGTTGATTAGTCTTTTAAATAAAATGTGACATACTAATTCTCAAATAAGTTTAAATAACATTTGGTGATGAATAGGCGAATGGGCTGTCTTAAGAGAACAGAGTGCTTGGGGAGAAATAGCAAAGTGGCTTGGGAAAATAAACATTTGATATAGAAGGAAAAACAACTAGTACAGGGCGGAGATCCCTTTATCACCTGAGTAGATGGAGACCCTCTGTTTTCTTGCTCTTTTATCCTGTTTCTGATCTCTTAGTATCTCTTTCCTCATTATTTAATAATAGTTTATTTTCTAAGATAAATGTTGGATTTACTTGTTTTCATTGCTGTCTCTACTTTTTTGATCTTACAGTTAGTTTTCATATGTAGGAACTATCAGTATTAACAGATTTTAAGTTGAAAATTTTAGGATTATTTACTTTGAATTTTTTTCATTGGAAGATTAACTTAGATGTACACTTAGGTGTGCATGGTGGTTGTCTGCATTTTGACAATAATGCAAATATTTAAGAAAATAAAAGCAAAAAGGAAAAAAATCAAATACTTTTCTAAAGAATAGCCACAAGTTTTTATTATGAAAATGTAATACGCTTAGGTTTAGTAATATAGATTTCTGATTTTGACAGTAACTTTTTTTGTTTCATTTTAACATTTTGAATAGAAGTGCTAATAATTTGCAAGAACTGTATTGACTTTGGACTTTTCCTGTAGCATCAAGTTTTTTTTGTTTTTGTTTTTTTTTTTTTTGAGACGGAGTCTCACTCTGTTGCCCTGGCTAGAGTGTGTGCCGTGGCGTTAGCCTAGCTCACAGCAGCCTCAAACTCCTGGACTCAAGCGATCCTACTGCCTCAGCCTCCTGAGTAGCTGGGACTACAGGCATGAGCCACCCCGCCCAGCTAATTTTTTCTATATATTTTTAGTTGTCCAGATAATTTTTTTCTATTTTTTTTAGTAGAGATGGGGTCTTGCTCTTGCTCAGGCTGATCTCTGAACTCCTGAGCTCAAACAATCCGCCCGCCTCGGCCTCCCAGAGTGCTAGGATTACAGGCGTGAGCCACCGCGCCCTGCCGGCATCAAGTTTTAATTCAAGGAATCACATTATTTGGCAGTAATGATTGCAATGTTGGCTTTTATTATCTTATATATAGGCAGATTTTAAGAGACAATTTTAAAACCTTGCTCTTGAAAATTTCCCTTGTTATGCTCATGAGCCAGTGAATTCTAAGATTATATTGCATATGCTTTAGTGGTTTATTCATTACTTACTAATCAGATTTTAAATTTGTATTGAAATATTAGACGTGTCTGTTCTTTCATTGTTGATGGTTTTGATGTCTAGAAAATTTTTAATGTGATAAAAATAAGTCACATTTCAAAAAGCAGCATATGGATATTTGTATTAGTCGGATTATTTATCTTTGAGGATAGTTTTGTTTTTGTTTCATTTTGAGTAATGTTTTCTGAATATTTACAGCATGCCTGGTACAGTGTTAAATATTTTACGTGTATTATCTCCTTTAGAACAAATGCATAAGTTTTTTATTGGTTAGCAGAATTCTCATTTGGCACATTTTAGTAGTGTTATGTAATAAATATTTCTGATGAGAGTGAATTTTAGGCAAAGGTGATGCACAGTAATATGTTTGAATTACTGATTTTATTAAATTTAAAAACTACATTGTGATTTTTTTTTACATCAAGCTTAATTCTTTTATAGTCTTAATTTTGTGGGTGTAGTATATATTTTGTCTTTATTAGTTCATTAATAAGACAAAGAATATTACAGGGGACATTCACTTAAAGGAAATGTTAAAAAAAGAAGAGTATCATTTCTTCTAACTGATAAACACTTTAAATTGGTTTCTAAGTTAGAATACAATTTGATTCACATGGAAAATATTTTTTCTGTTTCTCCTTACCTTTCATTTAATACCTTTTCACGTACCCTATTAACAGATTTGATTAAGTCACGTTATTTAAAACTACTCACAAGTGATTTTTTTCTTAAGATAAAATTTTAATGTTATTATGGTGCCTTATTTTCAAGGAAGTTCTTTGTTAAGTGTTTTCGTTAGAATACACAAACATGAAAGTGCCTTTTATCTTATGAAGAAAATACTGTGTGTATTTCTGAAGGTCTATTTTGTTAAAAACATCATCTAATTAGTTTAAGTAACAAGAAGGATTTCTGTATGGATATATACTGTTTATGAAAATGAATGATAAAATGAGTTTTTAATTCATAAAATTTTAAGGAAGCAAATTGAGAACTTCTAACAGATGAATGTAATATTCTTCCTATTTATAGTTTAAAAATATATTGTATATCTGCTAGAAAAAAAATACATTATGTATAAATAGGTAATAAAACTATATAATGTATATTTGAAATACATCCTTGTGGAAAAGAACTTGAACTGTATAAAAGTGCTTTGCTTCTAAATTCTTTATACTGTAGAAAGAGAACTTTAAAAAAGATTAATTTTATTAAACGATAAGATTTAGTTTTAGTTTTATAGTATAAAGACATTTCTCTTAAAGATGACCTCAGTCACAGTAGTATTTGGTTTTGTGAAGGAACATCTATTTATTATGCTCTGCCTGAAATTTATTACCTTACTTTGCATAGAGTTAGACTCTCAAATTGAGAAGTGTAAAGTGAAAAAGTAAGAGTGGATTTAAAACCAACAGCTATTTAAAAGATTCTTTTGTATCCAAGTTGTTGGAAAATGTTAGTTATTTTGGTACTGAAACATTTTAATGTTCTGTATTTTTTAATACATTAAAGTCTATTTGAAAATGCAGTTTTTATTTTATGAGTTGTTTAATGTGAGATTTCTTAAGATTTCTGGATATGCTGATTACTTTACACATACACTTCAGTATGATAAGGAACCAAAAACATTTTTAAAAAGAGCATACCACCTTGTGAGAGGTCATTATAAATAATTTTCTGACTTTTTATATAGGAAAAATTTTAAAATGATTTGAAAGTTACCATTTACATACATTTTTATAAATAATTTTTTCTCATTTATTGGTAACATTAATTTAAAAGCTTTTTTGGGGTTTATTCTAAAGTGCTTGCTATGTATTTCCAAGCTGCTGCATTATATGCTAAAATCCTACAGTAGAAATTTCAGTGTTTGTCATTTTTTTCCCTGGTATATATTATGGATAACTATTAAGTTAAAAAAAAGTTTCCACGCTTTACTTTATGAAGCACAATGTGAGTATGTCTTTCTATTGAATATTTATGTTTGTAGATTAGAAGAACTGGCTGTGATTTGTGCTAATTATGACGTTCCACATATAGTCAACAATGCTTATGGAGTGCAGTCTTCAAAGTGTATGCACCTCATTCAGCAGGTAAGAGAGTTTAAAAGCTTGTCAAGGAAGTAGATTTTAACATATTACATGATTATTATTTTTTTACAACCTAATGTAGTAAAAACAGTTACTTAGCACCCTTTACTTCAAGGTGCATTAGAAACTTACATCTGATATTCTCTCAATAAAAGTTATTATTCATTGATAGCATGGTAGTAATTGGACTAATAGCTTTGGTAGTCTAGAATCAACATAGAAGTACGTCAGTAGTGTAGCTTTTAACTTTCTAAGAATGTTCCATGCATACCATGGTCCTCATTTTTCTAATATATTGGATTATGGTATTTTAAAAACTGTATTGATGGTTTTATTCTATATTTAAGGAATCATTTTACTTTACTATCCTAGACTAGAAATGACTTCATTTATAAAAATTCTAGCATATATCTATAAAATTGGCAGGTTTTTGTGATTTTGTTTTTGTAAGCATCAACTAGATACTAGTCATCTATTTTAGGTTCTAATTTTGAAAATATGGCTATGTTCCTCATGTATTAATAATTAAGAGCTGTGGCTTACAAGGCTTTGCATATTCAGGCCTCTGCTGCCTCTCTGATTTCATTTCCTATTGCTCCGCCTCTCAGCCGCTCTGCTCCAGCCACTCTTGCTGCCTTTCTGTTCTTCCACTGTGTCACATGTGTGCACACTTCCAGGCTTTTGCTCTTGCTCCTCCTGCTCACTGGATTGCTGTTCTAGAGAGTTACATGGCTTCTTCCTTCACTTTCATTAGGTCAGTGAGACTTCCTTAGATACCCTATTTAAAATAACACCTCCCTCTTACCGTATTTATCTATTTTAGGATACACAGTTTTCTACATTATGACATCTCTGAAATTGGGATGTCTTATAATCAGTGGTGTCTTATAATGTTCATTGGCAACCTTTTTTTCTTACGTAGTGATATGTAAAATAATAATGCACTTTTTAAAAATGATGGCCCTTTGGTGTTTTCTCTGTAGCACTTATCCCCATTTGATATAATGTTTGTTTATTTTCTGCCTATTGACAGAAATTAGCATTAAGGTTCTATTAGGGTGGAACTTTGTTTTATTCACTGTTATGCCCTTGATACTTGAGATAGTACCTGGTATATAATTGACAATCAAAAAATGGTTACTGAACAAAGTGAATGAATAAATGAAGCATTATATTTTTATCTGTGTACTATATGGGTTATATAATTTGAGTGCATAATGATAATATACATATTCAGTTTTGACATACATGTGATTTGTATGTGGATTATCTATGACCTTCTCCAGTGTGGTAAATGCTCTGAAGCTCAGTAGATCCTATCTAGTAAATTATTTTGTCTTTTATCTTTTTAAGTGTACTAGTATCATCTTTGATATAAATGTGGTTTATATGATAGTAGTAGCTGATTTACTTAATTTCTTTCCTCAAAGGTTGTATCAGGATGTCATTGGCTGCAAGTAACAGAAACCTAACTCAAATTGGTTTAACCAATAAGGAAACGGATTAGTTTATGTAACATAAGTCCAGAGGTTGAGTGGCTTATAGGCATCATGTGTCAAGATTTCTTAAAACCTTTAGAGAAAGACCACTTACTGTTTTCTTGGTATCTTTTTATTATTCCTTAACTTTGAAAGACTTCCTCATAATTCTAGATTGGATTATGTCTAATTTGTATGATAGTGGAGGAGGGGTATATAATTTTCTATGCTGGAAATCTTGAAAAACATTTTATTTCAGTGATTCATTTTTATTCTTCCTCTCCCTTTCCCCCTTGCTCTTCTCCTCTTTAATTTTTAGCAGCCTCAATTTCTTTAAAAGTCAAATACCATTAGCATTACTAAAAGTTTAGAAAAGTGAGGAAGGAGTAGATCATTCATAACCCTATTACCCTAACAAAGAACTTTAATAATTTATGTATTTACTTCTTCTTTTTTTATATGCATGCATTGTTTTTTACATATAGTCATTGTGTACATTTAACATTAATGCTTTTAAACTTAGTGTTTTATTTCTGTGCTCTCTGCATGCCTATAAAGTCTTCATAATGATTATTTTAATGTTCCTTATCAGTTACTCAGTTTTTTTTTTTTTTTAACCCAGAAGTGCTCAGTGTTTTGGTGCTCACAACATGCTTTTGAATACTAGAAAATTTGGTGTACTTGAAGAGGTTAAGGCTAAAAGGAAATGAGCTCCAGAATATGAGCTCATGGAAGGTGTCTTTGGAGTTGTGCACCACTAATACCATGCTCTGTTTCCATTTGTGAGGTAGTTTTATTAAAATTTTAACCAGAAAATAAAACTGTAAGATGGGTGAATGCATTTTTTTTAAATTTAGTTATTACATTGTTGTGAATACTATATTACCTTCTAAAATTGACATTTCTTTAAAGCAAAAAAAAGCAGTACATAAACATTCTGTTTTTCCCATGTTGGCCCTCACCAAAAGAGGTTGTGGCACTGATGCTTTAAACCAGATAAATACTTGGGTCTTGTTGAGTGCTGGTTGCTATTTCATGACATTCTGAAAAATTAAAGGTAGCTTTAATTCATGTCAATAGTCATGATTGGTAGTATATACCATTTACTCAGTACCCACCACATGTCAGGCATTCTCCTAGGCTTTTGAAGTTTATTAACTTAATCCTAACAATTTAGGGTGTACTTCCTATTGTTCCAAATCTACAAATGAAGAAACAAACTCAGTTTAGTTAAGTGACTTATCCAAAATCCCATAGCTACAAAATAGCCCATCTAGTTCAGTGTGATTCCAAAGCCCCATATTTTCTATTAAAAACAAAGTACTAAAACTGTAAGTCTTTTCTTGAGAAAATAGTATTGTAATAATCAATCAATGAGGAAAGAACTGTAATTAAAATGTTTTAAGATTTTGGTTTTTTTTTTTAGGGTGATGCCCCAGAATGCCTTAATGCTGAGCAAATAGAATATTCTGGTATGCACATGTGGGCCCTGGGGTATTTAGCTTTGAAGAACCTATATTTCTTTTTCTTTTTTTTTTTTTTTTTTTTTTGAGACAGAGTCTCACTCTGTTGCCCAGGCTAGAGTGAGTGCTGTGGCGTCAGCCTAGCTCACAGCAACCTCACACTCCTGGGCTCAAGTGATCCTCCTGCCTCAGCCTCCCAAGTAGCTGGGACTACAGGCATGTGCCACCATGCCCGGCTAATTTTATATATATATATTTTTAGTTGTCCAGATCATTTCTTTCTATTTTTTTAGTAGAGGCGGGGTCTCGCTCTTGCTCAGGCTGGTCTTGAACTCCTGACCTTGAGCGATCCACCCACCTCGGCCTCCCAGAATGCTAGGATTACAGGCATGAGCCACCGCGCCCGGCCAAGAACCTATATTTCTATTTCTATTTACTAAAATGACTAATATAGGGGATTCATGGAATATGGATGATAGGAAAGATTAATGGAGAGGGATGTACTAGAGTCATAAAAATATGTGTATAGGACTACTTATTTTAGAGTCAGAGTGTGGATTGTAAATCTGCAAAAGTGTGCGAAGTGGCACCTTCACCTAATAAGTGCTATTTCCTAATAATGAGAGAAGTAGGTGTTACTGCTTATTCACAGATCTAATTGTCAATTCATTCAACAAATAATAAATGGGTTCCCACTTATGTACCAGGCACCAGGGTAGACACTAGGGATACAATAGTGAATATAACAAACTCTGTAACCCTCATGGAACATTTTGTTTTTGTGGGGATATAGACAGTAAACTTTAAATATGCCAGGTCGTGATAAACACTCTAGTATTTGGGGGGGAGGGGTGTCAGATTAGATGGAGTGATCTGGGAAGCCTTCTCTAAGAAGTAACATTTGAGTGGAGCCCTGAATGATGTGAAAGCGTGAGCCATGCAGCGAGAGAGAGAGAGAAGGAGAAAGAGAGAGAGTGTTCAAACAAAAGGTAATAGTAAATGCCAAGGCTCTGAGGTACAGTAGTGTGCTTGGAATGTGTGAGAAATACCAAAAAGACCAGTATGGCTAGACCATAATAAATGAGGGGAACAGTGGTAGTAGAGATTTGAGGTGTGTTAAGGATTTGGGATTTTATTCTTGGTCTGATCTTTTGCCATTGGAGTATTTTGAGTAGGAGAGAGTGACGTGCTATGTGGGGAATAGACTGTAGGGAGGCAAGAGTGGAAGGCTGGTGCCATAGCCCATGTAGAACATGTTGGTGGTTCAGGCCAGGGTGGTAGCTGTGAAGGTGGTAAGAAATGGTTGTGTTCAGATGTATTTTGAGAGTGGTTTTTACAAGGTACACTGGTGAACTAGATGCTGGGTGTGAGAAAATGAGAATTCGGGGATTCCAAATAGGCTTTTGGCCTGAGTAGCTGGAAGAATGGAAGTTCCATAGGAATAAAATGTTTTATCTTTTAAACATGGGCTCTTCATCCAGATTACCTAGATTCTAGTTCCTATTGTGTCTTTGATTGCCTGGGTGACCTTCAGTAAGGTCCTTTAACTGGGTTTGAATCCCAGCTGTGCTATTAACTACATGTCCGATCTTGGGCAGTTTAATTTCATTGTGTCTTAATTTTCTCATCTGTAGAATAGGCGTTATATAATAGTAGCATCTACCTCCTACGGTTATTTGAGCATCAAATGCACTAACGAATGTAAACTGCTTAGAACAGTGCTTGACACACAGCACGCAGTAAATCGTGGCAGTAATTCTTTATATAAACAATTATTTATTTTATTCACTGTTGCTATCCCCAGAACGTAGAACAATGTTTGGAGATGATAGGTGCTCAAATATTTACTCTATGAATAAATAAGTAAATGAATGAACTGAGAAATGGCAGCCCTTTGCTTCATAGAACATGCTGCTATGTTTCCTACTCTATATAAGCTCTTCCATCCTTACAGTGTTTTTCTCCCCTCCTTATTGAGTAGCCTCTGACTTCAGTATGGGGAATGAGATCTGTTATACTATTCCTGAGATTGGGTCTGGCCGGTTCGTTTTCTAGCAGAGTCTGGTGCACTGATTCCTCTCTTAGTACTTCTGCTCCTGATTTAGGTTCATGTTTCTCTCAGGAAACCTTGGACAGTATTTAAACGTTAATAAAAAGGCAACTCTGACTGTTTCACGTTATTTTTACGTGCTGCTGCTTTGCATGTTTTCAGTTATTTATTCTAATCATCTTTTATGCTTGTCTCTGTTTTCCTGTGATATGGTGGGATTTCCTCTGATCATAGTTTACTAGGAAATTAGAAAGAAGAGTAACAGGGAAAGGTTAAAGATTAAAACCATCATGTGATAGCCTCCAGAGTATTCCTCTCCCCTTCCCTGCTTTAGCTGCTTCTACCTGTTGCCTGGATCTGGTCTTTTAGATTAGGCCAGCTATCTGCTGCTTCTTTTCTCCCTGAGATATGGATGTGTGAAAATGAAGGTCAAATGTGGTTATAATATTAATAGGAATGTAGATTGTGAATACAGATTGAAAATCTGTGGCTACAGATAAAGGAAAAAAACTATCTTAGTTGAAATTTAGATAGTATCTCTATTTTTAAGAGGAGAAAATTGAAGCACATTAGACAGAAGGTCATAGACTATGTTGGATGGGGACCAGAACTTAGTTTTATATTCCTAGTTGGTAAGTATTCACTTTTTCACAAGAATATTCGACTTTTCACTTGAAGTTCATTTGCAGTAGAATGAGATCATCTAAGATTATGATATTAGGGAGCATGACTTATGTAGAAACATTGCTTCTGAAATTGCCAAGAGTATAAAATAAAATTTCCATTAGTTGATGTTTAAAATTTTGCTTTTCGCTTTTGTTATCTAAGTGGTAGTAGGAGGAGAACTTGTTGCTTAAAGTGGTCATACAGGTAGTAGATTTTTCAAGCATCAAAGAGAGGCACTTAAATGTATAACGAACTGACTGGCAGCCAGTTGGCTACAGTCCATTAGATTATGGTGGCTACTCTTCAACTCACAGAGGGTGTTTAAAACTGCTTATTGGTTGTAGCACCTGCTGTAGACATTTATTGTCAAATAAAGGATCAGATGAGAGGCATGGGAGGAATCCATTCTTTCTGACAAAATTTTAAGGTGTAAAGCTCTGTTTCAGTAAAGTTCCCACCTGAACTGATACTGAAATCCTGCTTGCCTCACAGGGTTGTTGTGAAGATTAAATGATTTATGTGTGAAAGCAGGTTGTAAATGATAAAGTACTGTTCCAACTATAAGGAGCACCACTTAAAAACATTTTACTGGCGCTATTACAAAGAAAAATACAAATCTTTGATCTGTTTTTGATTTCTATGCATTGTTTTAATGGTGTTTATTTTTTTTTATTAAGGTAGAGTTGACAAATAAGAATTATATTTATGGTGTATAATGTGATGTTTTGATGTATATATACATTGTGAAATGGTTAAACCAAGCTAATTAACATATCTGTCACCTCATATACTTTTTATTGCGTTTATTTGTTAATAGGAGTTGTCTGTTCTTCTAGCAACTAATATGTAATATTACATTGATTCTAGGGGGCTCGGGTTGGTAGAATAGACGCTTTCGTTCAGAGCCTGGACAAAAATTTTATGGTTCCAGTAGGTGGTGCTATAATTGCTGGCTTTAATGATGCCTTCATTCAGGAAATCAGCAAGATGTATCCAGGTAAATAAATACGTTGCTCTTAAAAAAATGTAACTAACAAACAAAAATCCATTTATATATAGACTACTATAATAAGTCTTAATTTCCAAAGCTTCCCTCTCCCCAGCCCTCTCTCCTCAACGTAACTTTTCTATTTTTATTTCAGGAAGAGCTTCAGCTTCACCTTCTTTAGATATCCTTATTACTTTATTATCACTTGGATCAAATGGTTATAAGAAGCTATTAAAAGAAAGAAAGGTAAGCTTTCCCTTTAGGCATAGAATAATATTCTTAACTAAAACAGTATTCCAAATCATTGGTGTTTTTGCCTATTCGTTTATTACTTTGGGAGTGTAGGTATCTAGTGTGGTCCTACGGGATTTATTCAGATCTGGAACCAGCCTAGGTGTTTTTCGATTAATTGTCATCCTGTCTGTTTAAAGAGTCTGAGGAATCTTGGACAGGTGATTTTTTTTTTTTTTTTTTGAGAAACTCCTACATCAGGTTCCTTATTAGTTCAGTAAAATTCAATTCATTTATCACTTAAAGGTAGAGGCTCTTTAAAGACAAATGTACAACTCTTATTTTTAGTTTTTGGAAGCCTAAAGAATTGTTTATGTGTGAGATTTCAGTCACAGGAGGAAGAGTCAGGTGAGAAGTTAGCTAGCTTCTCATACTAAAATAACAAATTTATCCTTTGCTATTACATTATTAGAATGCTCAACTCATTGATTATTTTGGCTATGAAAAGTGATATTTATACTTGAAAACTGCACTTTGTCTCCAACACTGAAAACTAGGTTAATTCAGGATAACTCCAAAATTGTAGAGAGAGATAGTGTTGGAAGGTCAGGTCAGACTAAGGTGTTTTAGTCATCTCCTAATGGGAGAGCTAGAGGCCTATGGTACGGTGTTTTATATTTGTATAACTGTATAGCACGTAATAGCAATTGTAGTTTCTTAGATTTATAATAGTGCTTTACATATTTTTAAACATTCTCATATGTATTATCTCATAGATACTCTAATAGCCTTAGGAATACATAACAGAAGTTTAAAAATTGTGCCCTATTTTACCTCCTTCTCTCACTAATTCAGTCCATGGCAAATAATTGTTTTATCGTGAGGACATTTCTTAAGATTTACGTGACATAGGAAAAAATGCTCTGTGTGGTTAGTTATTAGGGAAATGCAGGTTAAAACCACAATAAGATACCACTACACACCTGTTAGAATGACTAATGTTAAAAAACAAAACAAAACTGACAATACCAAATGCTTGCAAAGATCTCAAGCAAGTAGAACTCTCAGACATTGCTGGTAGGAATGCGAAATGATATAGAAACTTTGAAAAACACTCTGGCAGTTTATGAAGTTAAACATATACTTCCTATATAAGCCAGCCATCTTACTCTTAGTTATTTACTTAAGAGAAATGAAAATTTATGTCTGTATAAAAACCTATACATGAATGTTTATGGTGATTCTATTCGTAATTGCCCAAACCTGTAAACATCCCAAATATCTATCATCTGGTGAATGGAAATAAACTGTGGTACATCTATACTCCACATTAAAAAGGAATGAACTACTGATACAGTCAGCAAATCCATAATGCTAAATGAAGGAAGCCAGACACAAAAGACTACATATTGTATATTTAATTGTTTCATTTATATGCCATCCTGTAAAAGGCAAAAAATACGGGGACAGAAACAAGATTAGTGGCTGCCAGAAGCTAGAGATGGGGAAGGAGACTTTTTGGGATGATGAAATGTTTTATATCTTGATAGTGGGAGTGTTTATGTAACTGTATGTTTGTCAAGATTCATAGAAGTAGACACTTAAAAGGTGGACACCTGAAATTTTTGTGTATGTGAATTATACCTCAGTAAATCTAACAACAAATTTTTACACAATAAGAATAGAACTCTAATTTTATAAACTCCAGAAAGTAATCATCGTGGTCATAGATTGTTGTCGCCAAGAGAAGACCTCAGCATATTTTTTAAGGAAATTTATCCATGTGTCAGATGATGACTATTTATGGATGAGGAAAACCTATCACGTGTTTATATGAGAATTTAGTTTTTCCAGATGCCAATGGGTCTTAGCTCTCCTTTAACAAGTTGTATCATCTTGGAAAAGTTACTTGAACTTGAAGATTTTATTTCCCCATTTGTGAAAGAAGCAATTGATATCTCAGGCCACTTTTATTTCTGTAAGACTCTAGAATATTTCTTTAAAAGAGTTACTTTCTGGGCTTTGGACATTATAATCATGGGAATTGGCCTGTAATTTAATAATCCAGTACAAGGTATATTGGTAATTTATAAATGAGGCATTTTGTAAGTTTGAAATTTTTCTTTTAAGATGATGCCTCTTCAGTTTCATGGTGCCTCATATCCATTTTTACCCCTATCAGGCCCCCCCAACCAAGCAATGACAAGCCCACTTAAAATAGCATGATCTAGTATGGACCTGTGTTTCTTTGTAATTCAAAGTAGGTGAAGTTGAGTGTGGGATAAGGTTCATTGAGGAAATATTTAACTTAAAAGTAAGTTATATTTATTTAGCATATATTATGTATCAGGAAAATGTATATGTGTATATGTGTGTGTGTGTATGTATATATGTATAGCAATCAATAAAATAGACATAAAGATACCTGCTCTTGTAGAGCACATATTCTGTATGGGGGAGACCAGCAATAGACAAATAGCTTCATATATAAATTATAAAGTTTGCTTGAAGGTAAAAAGTGTTAATGAAAAACAGAAAGAATAGAGTAAGGAGAATTGGGGAACATGAAGTAGTTGGTAGTGGTAATCGATTTTTAAATACAGCTTAGGGTAGGCTTCATTGAGAAGGCGACATTCAAGTCAACTTGAAGTCTGAGGGAGTATACACATAGGATGGCAAAGAAATGTTTCAGGCAGAAAGCCAGTACCAGGACCCTAGGGCAGACGTTGACTTTGTGTGTTTGAGAAGCATCAAAGGGGCCAGCGTGGCTGAAGCAAAGTGAGCAAGGAGGAGAGTTGTGGGAGGTGAGGTGGGGCTGATCATGTAGGGCCCCTATACTCCGCATAATGTCTTTGCCGCCTACTCTGAGTGAAATAGGGAGCCATTGAAGGGTTTTCAATTGAGTAATGTGATCTGACATATTTTGAAGGCTCACTGTGGTTGCTATTTTGAGAATAAATTAGGGGGAGCAAGGGTAGAAAGTTGGGATATCTATTAGGAAGCTTTTACAATAGTCAGGAAGTGAAGTTGGCTTGGTGCTAGATGGTTGCAGTGGAGGCGAGGGGCGTGATTAGAGTCTAGGTTTGTTTTGAAGATCGACCCAGTGGGAGTTCTGGATGGGTGTGTTTTATAAGAGAATGAGAAGATTAATTCTGAGATTTTTGACCTGAGCAATTGGAAGGATGGCGTAGCCATTAACTATGATGGGGAAGCCTATAGGTTTTGGGAGAAGACCAGGAGTTCAGTTTTGGACAAAATTGAATTTGGGATGTCCATTGACCTCAAGATAGAAATGTAAAGTAGAAAGTAGGATATGTAAGTTTGGCATTAAGAGAGTGATCTGGGCTGGAGATGAAAATATGGGAGTTAATTAGCCAAGAGGCTAGATAAGATTGCAAGAGAGTGAGTCTAAACAGAAAAGAGGTGCAAGGACTGAGCTCTGGGGCATTCCAACATTAAGAGGTCTGAGAAGAGCAAAGGAGACTTAGAAAGAACATTTAGTTAAGTAGAAGGACTACCAAGAGCATGGAGTCCTGGAAGTCGAATGAAAGAAGTACAGTCAACCCTCTGTATCATGAGAGATGGGTTCCAGGACTTTCCTTGGATACCAGAATCCATGGATATTCAAGTCTTTTATGTACAATGATGTCATATGTGCATATAACCTATGTACATCCTCCCCTATTCTTTAAGTCATCTCTAGATTACTTATAATACCTAATACAATGTAAATGCTGTGTCAATAGTTGTTAGACTGTGTTTAGTTAGAGAATAATGATAAGGGAAAAAAGTCTGTGCATGTTTAGTACAGATGCAATTTTTTTTTGAGTATTTTAAATCCTCATTTGGTTGCATCCATGGAGTTAGAACCCATAAATACGGTGGGCTGACTATATATCAAGGAGGAGGGGGTGATTAACATAGCCAGTGCCACTGATAGGTTAAGTAAAGTGAGCATTAAGATTTGACCATTGGTTAGAAAAGTTTCATGTAAAATCGTTCTTAATCACTTTTCCACGCAAGGTTTATGTTGTCTACATAAATACCATATATGTTTTTATACATTTATGTAAACATGAAATAGTTACACATAATAATGAGCACTTATAATGTGGCAGGCACTCTTCTAAGCACGTTTTTATGTATTCATTTAATCCTCAAAGCATCCTTGTGAGATAAGTATTACTGTTATCCTCATTTTCATAGGAAATGTAGCAACAGAGAAGTATCATATATGGGGTAAATTGTGGAACAGATTTAATTCTAGGCAATTAGGTCTCTTATCCTCTATCTTAACCTCTAGACCTGCTGCCTTTCTAAAATAAAGATAAATAATCTAGCCTGGTAGCTGTGTAGCTATATAGCTATAAGTCTGGAGACTCAGGTCCACTAATATCTAAAGGAGGCAAAAGCAATGAATAAATTTAGCTACTCTAGCCAAAATAGTTCAGTTATATAGTAGAGAGGGTATGTTATTTGCTTGTGTAGAATCACTGTCATTGGGAAACTGTCCCTCCCTGGCTCCAGGTGGTCTTGATGAGTTAGTCAATCACAATGTCCCTTCTTCCTCTTTCATAAGGGTGGGCATATAATCTGGCTGGCCTGCTTCATAGGTAGGCGTATGGAGATAGAGTCCTTCCAGTAGATTTGACAGATCTTTAGATATAAAGGGCTTCTTTCTTTGTAGGTAGTAAGCTCAAAGGATATAATCTTTTGACTATAAGTTACTATATTTCTGGCCTTGCCAAGAGAGACTTCTTGATACTAGGGAATATAAGAGGGAAAAGCGAACTGAGTCATTTGAGACTCTGGATACAGCCATGCCTGCTTATAGACTGGGCTGTTAGATGAACTAATAAATTCCCTTTTAAATGATATTTCTAGCACTGATACTTTTAATTATTTTTATACTCTTAAGTTTTTATGTCATTAAACCCTTCATAATGTTTCCAACATTCATTTCTTTGCAGTTCTACTGCCACCACTCCTAGTTGAAGTCCTTACCACATCACACC